TACACCAGACGTATGTATTAATATTGTTATCTATATTTATCTTTGATCTTCCTATGCCGCACTTCTTTTGGCTATCATGTTTTTATCGTTATGCTGCGGTAAGTCATGTTACTGCTCCTTAGATTATACGTATGATATGATATGTACCACTTTGCTTTAGTTAATTATAGTAATAACTTTACAGTTTCCGTGATTAAACTTACCATTATTAGCTTATCATTTTAATTTATAACAATAGTGATTAAATTTACTATAGATCAAATTTACCATAAATCAAGTTTCAACATGAGGTTTGTACCACAGTCAAAATTTTTTAACGTTCGTTTATATTAAGGCTTTTATTAAAATGAATTATTTATTTATATTGTACGTAGTTGAATGCTGAAGCAATTTATTTACAATAAAATAATAATGCAAAATTTGAGAATCAAGTTTCGCTATTAGGAAGGTCAAGTTTTACCGTGAGTAAAACTTCATTCAATCAAATTTTATAGCAATTTTTGCCGTATTCAAATTTTGCTGTAAGCAAAAATTGTGTGAATCAAGTTTTGTTATAAATGGTTTCACTATTTTATTATGTATAAAAATTTTTTAAAAAGATCCTAAAGGTTTTAAGTTTAAAAAATATCAAGAAAAAGAGCAAGAACAGCTATTAGTAGCAGTTTAAAATGGGAAATTTGTGAATATAGTATTAGTTTTTCAAATGAAACTCATTCAAACATCATGCAATATTTTAGTCAAAGAGATTCAACCTTGAATCTTGAACGTTCAACCATTACAAAGATCTTAAATAAAAAAGATAAATAGTTGGCAATTACTGATAACGAAGCCAATAAGGCTGTTTTTCGTCATAAAAAAGTCAAATTCCCTTTATTAGATAAAGCTATGCAGTTATGGGTTGAGCAGGTTATAGGTAGCCAAATCTTTTTGACAGAAGCAATTATTAAAGAAAAAGCAAACTTTTTTGCCCAGGCACTAGATTTACCAGACGATGCATTAAAATTTTCTAACAGGTGGGTTCATAAATTCAAGAAGAGAAATAATTTGCGAAATTATCAATTACACGAAGAAGCAAACAGTACTCCATTAGAATTACTTCCAGAACAAAGGGTCAGGTTATACAAAATAATTGAAAAATATTCTTTAAATAATGTTTTCAATGCAGATGAAACGGGATTATATTTCCATATAGCACCGCACTAAATACTCGCATCGCAACCACAATTAGGATGGAAAAAGGTTTTTTTTAATTTGCTTTATATTTGTCAGCAAAATCCGTACAAATTTCAAACCCTCCAAAATAATTATTATGAATAACCTTGATTTTCTGTAAATTATTTGCTTAAATAAAAAATGTTGTTAAGCTTTTGAGATATGGTGCAAATCATCTGTAGTCGCATCAAATCTATGCCATTTGCACAAAATGTATGATTTTAGAAAACCTGACCAATCAGAAAATACCTTTCCAATCCTTTAAAAATTGCTAGTAAGTTTTTTTAAATTTGTATCTCTGCAAATAAGTACAAGCTCTCTCAAAAAAAAGCACAAACTTGTAGTCTTTATACAGAACTATAAAGTTATGCTTTGATTTTTTCAAATTTACAAATACTTATTGAGGGGTTTGGGTCAAAATCCCAACAAGCGAAATCCCAACAGGTCATAATCCTGACAAAAAAATCCTGATAGCCAAAAGAAGTGCGGCATAGGAAGATCAAAGATAAATATAGATAACAATATTAATACATACGTCTGGTGTA